AAGGGTTGGGGGTCAGAAAAGAAGGGTTGTGGGTCAGAAAAGAAGGGATGTGGGTCAGAAAAGACGTGTTGTGGGTCAGAAAAGAAGGGTTGTGGGTCAGAAAAAAAGGATGTGGGTCAGAAAAAAAGGGTTGTGGGTCAGAAAAAAAGGAATCCCAGTCAGCAGATGTGAAGGTGTTTGAACAATGGGTCTCCTCGCATGAGACCTTCACAGTATCTTAAAATTCAAGCAGGTACGCCAGGATGACCAATCCTGGTATCCCGTGTTCAGACTAGCTTTCTTGGGCGTAGTCATCTGAACACGCTACGCCCCCCTGCCTCTTGTTGCTTTTAAACAGTTTGGTTCTACAAATTTGTACATGTTTGGAAACCTTAGGTTGCGAAAGGCTTGTCAGGCCATGTGATGATGCGATGTGGTTGCAATGACGCTGCGCTGGCCACAGCGACAGGTTGGGCATGTTTCCCTTGGCCTGGATTGTTGCAGGTTACTGGCGGGAACTGCATTGTTCGTGAATTGGTGGAACGACCCTAGACAGAAAACGTTCACTGATTCGTTCTGCCCATGCACTGCCACTGGTGAAGTGGAGTACGACACGTAGGGCCTTTTTCACTGCCCACAAGTCGCAAGAACATCAAGAATGTCATACAAGAACGTCACGCAAAGAGTGCCCCACCAGAGTCACCAGAGTGTTCCACGACGATTCCTTTGTGGGTTCAATCAGGCCAAAAATGCATTCCGGTCCATTTTCTTTGCTCGGATTTTGAACTCGAGGTTGTTGTTACCCTTATTGAGGTGCAGTTTTGTTTGTTCTGGTTTGCATTTACCCTGTACCATTGTCGTTTGGATGATGTGGTTAGGTCGTGTACATATGTGTTTTCAGTCTTGGTTCTGTTTCGGTCGCGTTGATGCGTTTTCATCACGGCCAGTCGGCCAGTTGCTTGATCTGAATCTGTGGTTTCGAAAGGCCGAAGGTATCTAGCTGATTCCCAGCTGAATGGCACTCAGGGGCCCACCGACCACCACGGCACAGAAACGAAAACCACGGACATTTCTGTTCTTTGCGCATGAGCATGTTTGCTTCTGCGCCCGGCCGTTCCCATCGACGAATTAAGCAGGAGAGTGGAAATCGATCCCGCATGATTACAAGCTGATCGAGGTCAGTGGAAGTTCCAAGCCATGGCAACCAAAGATATGCGCGATAGATATGAACAAACTTGTCAGCTTACAATTAGGCCTTAGTGCTTGATTTGCACCGGCAGAAAGAAGTAAGTATCACGATAGCTAGTTGGAGATCCAGCTCCAAAGTGTGAAAACCTTGTTCTTTATGTGGCCAAGGTGCCTTACAATATCTGGCAATGTTGTGCACGTGGACCCCAATGTTGCGGAGCAATCCCAGAAAGCAAAGGTCTCTGAGTTCGCCTTCGATTGCGCTATGGATAGCACCGATCCTGATGCCCCGGACTACGTGTCCCAGGATAGGTGCTATGATTTGATGGCAAAGAGGATGGTAGACCACGTTCTCGGAGGTTATTTTAGTTGCTTATTTTGCTATGGGCAGACTGGCACTGGAAAGACGACCACTATCATGGGGAAGGCACCGAGCATGAAGTTTGGAGATTCTTGCGATGTTAGACTTCTAAAGGGACAAGGTGGTGGTTGGGTGTTGGGGGCCTCATTTCTGATGCACATTGGCTTGTGAAAACTGTGTTTGTGTATGTTTGTGTAAATTTGTCCTTTGCTGGTGTCCTGCTTTTCGGTCCAGCAGCGCATGTGCTTGTGAAGGTGGAGCCTGTATCTAAGCAGGGACTGCTGTTGCGCCTCATGAACGACCTTTTTTCTGAGACGCTTTGACTCCAGAAGCGGATCCAGCAATGCCGGTGGGGGGGTTTGATTGAGACTTGCTGCTGGCATGCGCATATTGAATCATACTGATCCGAGGATGACTGCTTTGCAAGATGAGGGCTTGGAGGTGCACTGCAAAGTTCAGATGCTTGAGGTGCGCAGATCTTTGAGATTCTGCTTCATTTCGTGTAGATCCCTTGTTGCTAGTAGCTTCTTGTTCCTAATAGTAATGGCCTCCAAACTAATAGGGATGGCCTCCACCTAGTAGCTTCTTGCTCCTAGTAGGAATGCCCTTGTTAATCATGAAATCGGAGCGTTTGGTGAATGATTTGGTCAAACCAAAACGCATGGGGATGCATGGGGGCAGAAGGTGCACACACTACTACGATCACAGTCCACACAACTGAATGCTGAGATGGTGCACGTTTTTTTCCGGTGCATTCCGGGCAGTGAGAACTATGGCAAAAAGATGATCCTTGTGTTCTATGTTAATATATAAGTATATGATCATATATGATCATAAATATAGTAAATATAATAAAATATATTACATAGTCATTTTGGGAAACGTGTTGATGAATGACCGCCCGATTCGGTCCACATTTGTTCGTGAACCTTCATTGCCTTCCTTACACCACTGCTCGATGAGCTCATTCTTGAGCTGCATGCCGGTTTGTGCACCGACCCAAGTAAGTAGGTGGTCGTGATTTGCTTTATTCTGGATTGATGGTTGTTTTCTGAGGTGAGTGGGTTGCTCATGATGAATTGAGTACCAGTCCTCTTTAAACAGGGCATTCCAAAGATATGATTCCGGTCTCAACATGTCAAAATCCAGAATGTACAAGCATAGGCGTAGGGAGAGAACCGTGGTAAACCTAGTCTATATTAATCTCTATTGTATATACTATATTTACACCAAATATACACATATTGGATTCAAATGGATTCAACCGGAGTCAGTCAAATTCCGAAATTCACCACAGCCAACGACCTGCACGAGCCCTTGTTCTGGAGGTAACTGAAAACTATGAGGGAATCTCATCACTTAGAACCAGTCCTCGATCGGAGCCCTTCACTTCCAACCTGGAGCCAGCTTTCGATCGAAATGTTTCGCATGCAACAGGGGAAAGTAGGTCCTGATTGCACAATGTTGTTCTGGAGCCGTCCATTGATCCATCCTCATCCCATTCCTAGGACTAAGTCTGACTAAGTTTCACATTCTGGTGCAATCGCATAGGTATGTCCTTATCATAGTGGACAGAAGCTCGAAACGCCTTTCCAGCAGAGGTGCGTTGAGTTGGTAAAGTTCTTGCAAAACTGCAGATGTTCAAACTTGACGTCGATGAAAGCCAGCAAAGGTAGCAAACGGCGCCCCAATGCTATATTTATGTAAATCCAACTTCTCGGAAGTGCAGCTCACAGCTTCAAAAAGAAACATTCTCACAGCAAGGCCGTCCAGCTGGCCATGACAAATGTGGAATTGTTTAGGCTGTTTGTACAGTATCATACAGGTCTATCAAGTGTTATCATCATGGCCTTGCAGGAACAACCAGTGTCACCACACTGAAGTGGGCAGTGCGTAACGTTGATGTGAAGTTGTTCCATCCATCGAACGTGCCACGTGCGGGAAGTAGACAGAACGCGCAGTGGGTGCAACGGGAAAGGTCAAGTTTCCATAGCGTCAAACAGATTGAGGCGATACTGAGGTTCCTTTGCAGGTGTCATGCTCATTGGCAAGAGTTCCTTGCTGCATGGCTATGTGTGTGTGGGGGCTTGCACAAACGCAGGAAGTATTTGAAGGAGATGTTCAATTCCAGAGTTTAGGCTTTAGAGCAGACAACTTGCTTGAAGAATTGTAGACCAGCAACGCCATGTTTGGTGCCAACTTCGGGTCCTATGACGGCACTGTTCGTGCTCAAAGAGGAAGAGCCCGTTGTAGATGCTGCAGGTTGACCCTGCCCTACAGAAACATTCTTCGCAGCCTAGTGCTGCTTGTGCTAGGAACATCTTTGGCCCCTTTGGGTCTTTAGGAGCTTGTGCTGTTTGAAGCCTTTAGCTCTGTGAGGCGTGGTGCTTTGGGAAGCTAGACTGTTTGTGGGCTGGTATGGATGCCGAGCTTGCGAAATATTTTCGATGGAAGTCATTTGTTTCAAGACTCCGGTTCCGGTGGGGCGTGCTGAGTTGGGCAGCCATCCAAACCTGGCCTGAAGGGCGTTTTGTGGAGCAAATCCTTGTTTGTTTGGTGGTTTGGCTGTGCAGTTCCAACTGACGTGGGCATGGTCTACTCCTTCTGTGATGCAGTAGGGGCTGTGCCTTGTGCTGCTTTGACGTCAGGATGTGAAGCACGCTGGGCTGACTGCAGAGCCAGATAAAATGGCAAGGGCCGCACCCTCCCTTGTTTGTGCAAGGTTGCGGGCGTGAGTGAGCCGTGCTTCTTCATAGGGCCAAGTACTCTTGACTCAAGGCCCCGGCTTCTGGGCTATGGTTTTGTTCCAAATGATTTCGCTGGAGGGTGGTTGGGATGTGCTTGTTCAGAGTGGGATGGTGTCCTTGTCACGAAAGCTAGCGTCAGTTAGCTGGAGTTACTCTTGCTTTAGCAAGTCATTGGCTGGGGGATGGAATGACCTACCCAGTGAATAATTCACGCGTAGACCCCCCCGGCGGGTTCAACTTCCTCCGCGTCTGATGGTCTGATTCAGGAATGCGTCGGCCAGGGCCGCATTGGAGAGGACATTCCACTAGGTCATTTGACTGTAAGTCAACAAGTCAATGCACGGAAACCAGATACCTTCCAGCAAAAACACAGAATTGCGCTCTCCGACAACCTCTCGCCACATCCCGCTTCCAAGCCATGCCAGCTTTCGTCACCAACCCCCAGCCTCAAGTGCAGAAATTTGCCAGCCCATGTTAGCGATCCAGCCTTTTGCCTCCCAGCGGTCAGCGCCTCTACGCAACACCCAAATATGTTCCGCGCGGTTTGCTGTTGGTGAGGCGCTGCGCCTTCCGCCCAACCCTCTCCAGCTTTTCAGGCTGAAGCCCTGAACAATAAAAAACAAGCAAAGGGCCTCAGGCCACAGCCAGAAGTTCAAAACAAGCTTTTCTTGGGAGTTCGTTGAGGTACTGTATATGAATTCTTGAGGAGAAGAAACCTTCCTGTCCCTTCTTTTAAATTTGCCTATCTAATGTTCCTCGTTCTTTGGTTCTCTCCTTAATGTTTTCCCTTTTCATGTTCCCTTTTTCTTGTTTTTTCTTGACCCTGGGAGAAAGAAACACACACACACACCAAACTAAGCAGAACTACTGTTGCTTTGTCACAACCATACAAACCTTTGCTGGGCCAACTGCAGTTAGCAACAGTACGAAACATTGCATAAACATGTTCGTTTCTTGCAGGGTTTGGTGGCATGCCCTGCGTTCTCTCAATGGTTCGTTTGAGCCCCTAAACCTTCCGCCATTTCCGAAGGTGTACAACGAAAAGGTGCGTGACCTCCTCGTGCCCATGAATGGAAATAGCGCCTTGGCTTTGAATGTGCCCTTTGACATTTTTGTCCAACAGCGTACGCGGCGTACACGGTCAACTCAGATCACAACACTTCACAACCGCAACAGGCACAGAATGGCTAAGACAAAATTTCAGGAAAGAACATGACTAGGCCCTAGGCTTGCCTAATATCCAAGAAATCTCTTTGCAACGTTTGCGAGTGCAACTGAGCGGTTCTTGAGAGGGGCTTAGCTGAAGACCCAAGTCCGCTGCCACGAACAGCCTTTGATCTCGACGTCTTTGGCATGGTGATGCCGGTATTGGAGTTGCGGTTGCAATCGGACTGTGATAGCAGATTGGCAGTTTCACAGGGTCGCTGACCCCAAGACATCCCAAGTCCCAAGACGAACAGATGCGAAGAGTTCCAGTGTTGGAGTCTCCAGTCACAAGGAACACTGGCTGAGCCTCGTGGGAAATGTTACAAGTTACAACCACCACCGTAGGAGTAGTTGGAGTAGTTACTGCAAGGATCCGCAACGAGGCAAACATTTAATATTGACTTGCCCGTTTTGTAGGGTTTGAAGCAGGGCTGTCAGGCTAGATCTTTGTGCAGTGTTTGAGCGCTGAGGCAAAGATGGAAAATCGCGGCACCATCCTGAAGTGCACGTCCATCCAAAGTTGGGTGTGTGGCTTGGGTTTGTCTTGACTTAGTCTTGCGAACAGACTTTCTACTACCCAAGTCACACTATCGTCTTTTTTGGATTTTGGTCTTTCCGCTCCGTTCTTGTGCATGTCCAAGCTGTTGGTATGTGGCGCAGACAGCTTGGAGACCATAGGTATGTGAAGGGAGTGGCAGATGAGCCCGTTGATTCCTTTGAGAATTGTGTCCAATTGATTGAGCTGCTCGATTGCATTGGCTGATTCTATGGTTGGAACTAGTCTGCGAAAACTGGTTTAGTATGGTTTAGTTATTTGTCTCCATTTGATGAACCTGGATCCAAGATTCTACTTCTAGAGGCAGAGGCAGGGTGTGTCCCACGGCCAGTAACAGTAGCCAAAAAACAGTAACAGTAGCCAAAAAAAAACAACTATTTTTGAGAGAATTTTCCTAGCCATCGTCATCATCCAATGATGCTCAAACTAGACTTAATGGCTGGCCATGAGACTTATATACAGTAAGCAAGTGGTTGGGTCGCCTTCCCCTCCTGATCACCTTGTGAGTTTAGTGAGCCCTGCATTTGATAGCGTTCTGCCTAGCTCGTTCTGGCATTTTGAGGATGCCTGCACAGTCCTTTTCGTCTTGCCCCTGCCCCAGCAGATGTTAGCATCTTAGTCTCCCATATTGGTTCCGTTTTGCTCCTTGGTCTCCGGCCTTTAGGGGAAGTTGCCGTTGGGCGTCTCTGTGAGACGACTCCGGGACGAGTCATGCCCGCCAGGTGTAACGAGAAGGTGGAAGAAGGACCGCATCAATCTTCAAACGTACCTAGATGGGTTGTATATATCCAATTCTCGGAGCCAGGGTGTTGCTGTTGCTCTGTGGTTTTGGCCTTTTGTTGGTGTTTGTTGGTCGTGTCGGTTGTTTTGCTGTGCGCGGGTTTGCCTGAATGGATTCTCGTGGGGTCGTCTCCTGCTGTTCCTCTTTGCATGTTTTGTTGCTATTTATATATGATTATATATTTTATACATACATATTACATATTGTCTTGCAGTTGTTCCCATTGTTTTTTTTGAGTTTTTGGCTGGCTGGCTTTTCTGCATATTCCTGTCGTTTTCTGGCTTGTCCTTTTTCAAGTGATTTCCACACTTTGTTTGCTTTTCAGTTTTTGGTAGGACACACGTTAGAAACCCTGTCCCGCACTAACAGAATCTTGAACCCCGCGTCATCCCACATTTCGAAAGTTGGCTTCCTGTGACAAGGTATGGCAACACGATGAAGACAGTTGCAGCAACAGCCATGAATGCAAAGAGTTCAAGAGCACACACCATATTCAAGCTTATGGTGGAAAAACGCAACTTGTTTGCACATGGTGGGAAGCTTGAAGTGAACACCCGTGTGCAAATAGTGAGGTGGGGGCAGCGACAACACCATTGTCACCTCAGAGGCGTTTTTTGTGGATCTTGCCGGCCGTGAGAATGAGAAGACCACCAAGGAGTCTTTGCCGCAAAGACACGTTCACTTGCACGCAAGGCCCCGATCCAACCCCTTTGTCGACCGACTGAGGTGTCCGGCGAGAGGCTCGTCGAACTCACCTTCATAAATCAAAGTTTGATGTGGTTGGCAAGCTGCATTCAAGCACTGGCAAAGCCGGAGACTAGAAAATCGATGGTTCCAGGTGCTGGCACCGGCAATCTAATGTCCAGATTTCGGAATTCGAAGTTGACATTGTTGCTGTCCAATGCTTTGAGTGGAAACTCCAAAACATCAATGATTGGTACTTTGAGTCCGGCGCTTGCGAATTTCGAAGAGAGTTACAGTACACTGACCTTTGCGTCAACGGTCAAAAATATAAAGATCAAAGCCAAACCTGCATCAGCTGTGGACAAAGATGCGCTAGTGAAGAGCTTGCAGGAGGAATTGCAGGCTTTGAAAGAACAGCTTGCTGCATCGGAGGAGAAGGTCCATGCTGATGCTTTGACGGACAAACTCGAGGCAACTGAAGCTTTGATGGAAAGATATCGAAAAGGCTGGGAAGAGGCGCAAACGGAAGCTAAGCGACTCATGTCTCAAAGAGGTGCTGATTTGGAAAAGCTGGGCGCCCCGCGATGGAGCTGGGCAATGCACAGCGTTTTGGCTGCAAAGCGTGAAGATTCAAAGCGCATTCCACATTTGGTCAATTACTCCGATGATCCTTACATGAGGGGGAGGCTCACGTTCCATCCTTCAGAGGTTGGTCGTGAATACTCATTAGGTTTCAACCCAAAAGCATGTGACTTTTTGGTGCCTCATGGCCTTGGAATACAAGAGGTGACTTGCTTCATTCAGAGAGATAACACAGGACGCCTATTCTTACGACCTGCCGCTAACACAGAAACCAGCAGTGGAAGTAGCATGAGTGGGAGTGAGGAGGAATGGCAGCCGTGTGGCAAAGCTTCAGCCGTTGCCTACATAGAAGTGAATGGGCAACGCTTGCAAGAGGCCAGTGCTGTCGAGCTGCAGCATTTAGATCGTGTTGTTCTTGGACGATCGGTGATGCTTTATGCCTTTGTAAGACCCGGCACCTCAATTCATGATCTTCCGGCTGACAGATTGCCCGCAGCGCGCCCCTCACAACAAGAATTGTTAATTCTAGAGATTCTGGGAAAGGAGAGAGCTGAAGAGCCTGGCCAGCGGCAAATGGCTTTGAAGTTCATGGCAGACTTGAAGAAGAATAACCTGGACACTGATGGAGCTACCTCTGTGCAAGAATTTCTGTTGATGGCTCGCAAGGCTGCGCAAATGGTGGAGGAGGCAAATCAGATCACAGCAGAAGTGAAACCTGGAGGCCAAACCAACTTGAAGTTTGAGCTTTGTGCCATTGCCCCCATTCTGGCACTTGGCTATGGCCGCTCTTGCTGCCCAGAACTCAGCGTCCGCTTGGTGCGTCACATTTCACCTTCGCAGGCGAAGGCCAGAGCTTCAGCCACAAGTGCCAGGCGTGCATCCCTTCACTCCAGTGAGATTTTGCTGGAACAGTTTGCCTCTGGAACTGGGAGTGGAGGCTCCACAGATTCAGAGGTTCTGTACAACTGGACTTTTGAGAAGTTTTGCTCACGCCTGCAGATCATGCAAGAAGTGTGGCAGGCACATTCACAAGATCCTGACAACTTCGATTTGGATGAATTCAATCACCCCTGGTCAGAGCAAGGGCCCAGTGAACTGGCAGAGTTGAGGCAACGTTATGATAGCCTGCGTGACAGCATTGTATCAGCAGGGAATGCGAGAAGCTCCTACGTGTCGCATCAACAAGCACTACCTGCCTTGGGCGTGCATTTCAGGCGCCCCAACGAAAGGCTCGAAGAAGAGAACCAGCGATTGCGCCAGCAAGTGAGTGAGCTGAGCAGTGTGCTCCGCAATTCTTATGCAGGCTCCCATGGCATGCATACGAGCCAACCAGCTGTGCACGCTCTTGCCCCACCGCAAGGACAAAGCGAAGTACCAAGTTCGCTGAAGGGAATTTTGGATTTGTCCAAGACAAACCTACTTTTGGTCTTGGACCTTTTCGACACGCTCTCACGGCTCAGCAATAGCATGCTCAATGCATCGGCAGCATGTCTCCAGACCACTCCAGATAGCACAGCTGTTGATGAGGCACGCCAGCGCTTGGCGGAAGCATCCGAAGACCTTGCGGCCTTTTTTGCTGAGACGTCTCCCAACCTCGGAGCGTTTCCACACCTCGGAGCGGAGCCAATCGGAGTCGATCGTCTCCAAACACATATTGGGCGACAACCCTGCCCTGCCGCCAGCCCCAGCTTGCCAGAACCAAGGGCCCAAAGCAGTGCCCATGTCCTCCAACAATTCGCGCTCTCCACATCAGTCACTGGACCTATGAGACCCATTGGACCCACAACGCACTCTGCAGAGTCCCCCCATGCTGTGATCGTGGGCGGCTTCCCAAAAGTGCAAGGAGCTTATTTCTTTCCGGCCTCGGATGTGAGTGATCGGAGACACCCAATTCAATCACAAGTTCGACAAATCCGCAATGAGAACCGCAGTGACCTTGCACCTGCTGTACCAGCAGAAGGTCGAGCGTTGGGTGTGTTTCACTCAAACTGATGTGGCGGCGTTTGCGGTCAAAAGATTTGAAGAGCCGCTTTTAATTCTAGATCCCAGATGATCCCAGCAACTTTGCCTGTATCATCCTGTATCTACAATAGATACCTATGTAGATTCAAGCCAGCAACCTAGCCACTAGCCCTTACAGCTTTTGCTAGAAGTAGTTTATTTGAATTTGGGATGGACATTTGGCTTCGTTATTTTTTGTCGGAGTCTTTTCATTTGTCCATTCATTTGCCGTGTAACGTTGTATGCCCACCCAGTTGCGGATCCAATCTATCCGTCCGCATGGCTATCCATCCATCCCAAGCCCCATCATCCACAGCGAACTGGTCTTCGTGCTGGTAGGATGCGCAGCGAACCTCTTTATGGCCAACGTTCGTCACCCTTCAGATGGGGTTCCCCTTACGCAAGGGATTTGAGGAGCTACAAGTTGAGCTTTGGGGTCAAGAGCTAGCCCTTACATGGAACCCTATGCCTATACCATACAATAGTCCCTGAATATTCATCCCAAAGCTCCTGCCGGCAAGTTGCCAAGACCGTGTATGGAAGTGGCTTTGAAGGCTCGCAACAAAGTAGAAAGAAAAATAGGATGCTGTTGCCCCGAGCTGAGAAAGAGGATCCTCTAAACTCTAAGCAACCTCAAGTTGAAACATCCACTCACTGGCTCTTGTTTGCGGTGCAAGAGGGGGCTCCTCATACTTGCAATATCTTGCTAAAGCGAGCCACGGGTCAGCGAGCCTAGACTCCGGTTTGTACATATATCATTTTAGGGTGAACGAAGTGAATAAAGGGGGTGGGGGATTGTGGGGGTGGTCGCGCTGAGGCCACTTTTGGGAGGTCGAACCTTGAGCCTGGTGGGGGAGAGCGTTCAAAAGTATGGTCAGGAAAGCATCGAAAAAGTTGTTTGGTGATGCGGTGATGCAAGTGATATAAATGACGCCGAGTAGTGCATCATTAGCATCATGAAGGGGTTTGGAGATAATGTTTCTAGTCCTGAGCAGGGCATAGGGACTGTATGTCCAGTTGGGCGGGGTAGAGGCTTGGGGATAAGAGCGCCGCAAGAGCAAGAAAGCTGCAAGCGTTCAACACTTCATGCTGTGCTCCGATCTTGATCTCAGTCGCAGTGATACCAGCTCCACGAAACTACAAGCTTTCAACCATAGGTGCTCTGCTATTTTTTCCTCCCAGCCCTGCTCTCTATAGGGCTTCGCATTGATGCACGATACCCGAAACAGATTTCAACACAACCACAAAAACCATTTCGGGCATCATTCTCCTGGTGTTCACTGACGCTTATTTTTGGCACGGATTCTCCAATAGACCAACAAACAGGGACGCTCCAGAGAGCACCGCGCCAGGAAAATCGAGAAAGTCTGCCCGTGGTTTCACCATGCCCGTGCCTCCCGTGCCTTGCCCGTGGGCGTAATACGTGCGCGCGTTGCATGCCGTCAACAGCCCCCCAACCCAGAAACTCAAACACTTCCTCCTGCCAGCCCTCAAACTTTGGGTGCCAACCCTCGGATGCCAAACCATTGAAATCCTATCAACATCAAACTGTTGCGCTCCAACCCCGGATGCCCAACCCTGCAAGTTACGCACGCATCAACTGATGGCCCATTAGCCCACACATTTTGCGCCAACCAAGAAATTTCAACACTCGGACGCCAAACCATGGAAATCCAACCCTGGATTCCCACTAAAAGGCCGGAATCCTACCAAAAAAGGCCAGCAAACTCAAGCTGTTGGGTTCCAACCCCTGTGAGGTGTTGCCTTGTATGCTCCCCAAAGCTGGGAGCTTTGCAACCTGTCTCACCACTTCAACACCTTTGATGGTGCCTTGACTGTCATGCCCCTCAGAAATCTGACGTTGAAGGGCCTTCATACTTTCAACAAGCAATGCCACGACCTCCATTTGCTAGATCTCTGGTGAAGGCCTGGCTCCCCCCATTGTAGGCTTGTGGGTGGTCGATCTTGGATCCTCCTTTGAACCCTTTTCCATACGAAGGACTTCTTCCTTTTCGAGGTGGGTCTTTGGATTGAGATCTCGACCCCTTTCCATACCTAGCTGGGTAGGTGACCATGGAGTGCGTCCCCTACTCCCCAACATATCCAAGACGCTGGGAGCTTCGGGCTTCGCTTCTTCGGGAGTGTTGAACGTCGATGAACTTCGAGGGACATGACATTCCTCTTTCTCCTTCTTTTTCTTTTCTTCCTCTTGCCTTTTTCTTTCTGCATCCTCCAACCTCCATTCATAGAGCTCCTGTTGAAGGCGATCATTTTCACGTTGTTGATCCTGACATAGGCTTGTCAGCTTCTTCATATTTTGCGAGATCTGCCAGCGCCACATGATCTCTTCTTCTTTTTCTTCTTGAAGGCGGCTTCGGTGGCGGCCTTGGGGATCTTCTGAATCCTCATCATCACATCGCCTGAGCTCTTCGCTTTCTTCCTCATCATAGCCTCCTGGGGCCTTCTTCTTTCCTCCAAACCTTTCCTCCTCTTCTTGAAGGAATGCAGGTCGTTGAAGGGGCTCCAACTGCTCTTCAGAGGATGATGGAGGTGGTGTCCTTCCAAACACCTGGGGTGCAAGACGAGCGGCAGCTCTTGCTTCTTTCATCTGTTCCTTTGTAAACAGCGGCGGCATCTGCTGCTGCATAGGAACCAGAGGTGCAAGGGTCACCGGCCGACCTTTTGGTTGCTCAGTCGGCTCTTTTGCACTGAGCTTGGACCCACCACTACGAAACACTTCCATCTCCGTAGTAGGCCCTGTTGCTGAACCCGGTCAAACCCTTTTCATCTTTTTCCACCCCTTCTCTTTCCTTCACCTTTCCAGCCTCTTCCCCAGAGGCCCTTGCAGTGTCCTCCTCTGGTGGAGGCAAAGCCAGCGAAGTTCCATGCTCCATCGATCGCGGGCGACGCAGCATGCACGAGCTCAGGGGTGGTGCAAAAGTAGCTTGTTTTGGGTTCATAACCTGTTGATACCCTTCTGCGGACATGACCGAAAACTCAAGTTCCCAAACCAAATGCACACTTAAGTGCATAGCGCCCGCACTTGTTTGCCGCAGAGCACTGAAGT